GAAAAGCCTTCTTAGAACCTTCTTAGCCCCAGTCTAAGAAAGCTTTCACATTGGCACAATCCTGGCACATTCCAAAGTGGGCTAACTCAACTTTAGCCTAGTTAAGTGGTTATTAGGCTAGTGGGAAGGCACCCAAAATTCAGAGCTATTTCTTAAATAGTTTTTAATGGTACATTTGAATTAATCACTTCAATTTATTGCCCAGCTCTATTTTAAAGGGAACAAGGAGGCACAGTTCAAGTGAAGAGACAAATAATATGCTATTTCAGACAAAATTTTAGTTATTTGACTATCTACCTGCATGCCACACCCTCACAGGCTGTGACACTACAGGTAGTTTTTATGGAAAAGGGGAGACAACAGCTTCTACACAGCTGAAGACCCACCTTGTTGATTTGCAAGAAATGTCTAACCTTGGATAATGGGGCTAGAGGGATACCTACAGTGTCATATTATGAATCATAGGGGCTCGGGTTCAACAGCAGTATTTTATGAGTTGGCAGTGAGAATGTGCTGATACAGCGGTGATGGACCTGCACTGATCACAGAAAATCACAGCGACTTTTGGTACGATTGACATGCATTGAGTTTTTTTGAGGATAATGTGGATGAGTGACATACTGTGTACAAAAGATGGACAAAAGCAAGAAGAAAATAGACGTTTTGTTTTTGTGTTATACTTAAATACTTACACATACTTAAAAAGTGTATTTTGCCAGTGAAAATGATTTCTTGTTACATTCAGAACATTTATTTACCCTTTAAATTGAAGTTCATAAAAAACTTGCAATAAATTGTCTGATACAATTTCTTCCATATTGAAGTGTATTTTAAAGTCCCTTTATTGACCCCGACAAGCCATTTATGGCCGTTTCATTTTGATGGCACACGTCATACATTTCTTAATGTAGACCACTGACCATACATGCTGCAATTACATATCATATGTTGCTGGATTTAGCACAGTCAGACCTTTCTAATAAACCCTGGTTGGTGTGTCTGGGACAATCCCAGCCAAAGCTAACTTAAAGTAAATGTATACATTCATCATAGATCCTAAAATTTGTTATTTCCGCCTATTGTACTTCAGTGTTTGTAGTCCTGTATTCCTTCACTGCATCAATATATTCACATTCTGTTTCCATAGACATGTAGAGGAGCACCCTGCCCACTCCCACACCAAATGTGGAATCAATCAGAGCTTGCAGTATGAAATTACATGATTTCAGGTGTATCATCTCCCATTCGGCCTGGCTTTATTTTGCACTTTTTTTATTTACGGGGTGTATCACAATATATGTCAATTAAACCACTTTGCAGTAAAATATTTTATACAAGAATTAATTTCATATATGGGAGACCTTGGAGAATATAAAAAAACATTGTTGTGCTTTGTTCTACCTACGGTAGGGGTATCTCAAAAACTAAAGCACTTTTGGGGCCTTTCCCTCTAGCCTATATCCTTTATAAATCGCTTTAGGGAAACTCATTCTCTCCATTTGACCCATCTTAAGTGTTAGGAGCAGTGGGCACCCACGTGTGGCGCCCGGGGTACTACTCCAGATCTGAACCTGGAGAATGAACCTAACATATATGTTTTGACATTGGGGTAAACCGGAGCACTCTGAGCAAATGCACGCAAACAAACATGGGAAGAACATGCACATCCAAGCCTGGATTCAAACCCACAAGGTGGCGGTGCTAACCACCGATTCACCGTGCCACCTAGGGGTTACTGGCTCTGCTCCGGGTTAGGCCAGAGTTTGCTAAACACTGGGCTAAAAGGTGCCAGTGTGAAACAGGGCTAAAATGAAGAGAAAGTAAACTGAGATTTAAATAGTAATCATGTGCTCCAATGGACATTTAACCCAGGGTTAGCAGTAGTGGAGTGTCAATCGTATAGCCCTGCAATAACACAGCAATACCATGTACTCTTATGGAGGAATGACCCAACTTCTCACTTCATTTATTAGCTCAGAACAGTTTCCTAATGAGTTTATAGTCTTAATCGCTAGTTTCAAGTCTTCTTCCATACAGCATGATATTAATTTTGTCTCCACCGTCTCTGACAAACCGTCATGGGGACGACCATAATGCTTCAAAATGGTACTCTACAATGGGTGACGTCACGAAAGGTATAAGGTATCCCAGGATCAACCATTAGCCCAGGGATAAAAATGTGCAGTGTGAAAAGCCATATAACATACATATACTCATACTTTTCTTTCTCTCTCTCTTCCAGTAATAGGGAACTCAAAAGAAGGAATTAACATAATGCTAGAAGGGCAGAAATGGTGTCAGTCTTAATTAGAGTAGGATGTGGCTGTCATCAGTCTCAATCAGATTGGCACTTGACCTTTTCTGTGGGGAGATTCATTCTGGGATTACTGGTACTTGCTTGCGGTTTTGCAAATGCCCTCTTGGCTGGGCTTCTTTCAGTGTGCCATGACCATGTCTAGCTCTTCTGTTACAGTCTGGCCCCTTAATATTAAAGTCCAGAAAAGGGAAATATGATATTGTCCTTTTTCAGAGGAGAGAGTGCTTCTGTTGCAATGTTACAAGAGATCCATTTAACTGAAAAAGAACATAAAAAGCTTGGGCAGGAGAGTATTTTTCTTCATCTAATAGTAAAAATAGAGTTGTGGCAGTACTAATACAAAATATTAAATAAAAATCTACATCTCATTAATCTATTTAACTCAAATAGTTGCTAAGTGTTCATTTGTGGATTCTTACATTGTGAAATATTACTATTCCTAAGGTGTATGCTGCTCCTGATATTGATATATTCGTCTTCACTACTGTGACTGATTTATTGCTTAAAGCCTTGTAATGGTAGTGGATGGTGACTGGAACTGTGTAATGACTAGATAAAAACCCAGGTTTTAATAAAACGAAAAGGAATCCCAGACAACGAGCCTGGCAGTACACTCTGTATGTTTTTCTCTAATGCACATACAACATATTGTGCGTTTAAACCAATACATAGTGTCTGTAGCGGAGGTGAGCAGAGATCTAATCAGTGGTAATAGTTTAAGTAAAGTAATAGGAAAAACCTGTGTGGATTTTAAGATCCGAGTGCTTGCATGCTGTTGGTTAAGCTCCAAATCTCAGAATGTAAATGTAAACCATGGCTCAAAGTGTCCTGAATTAGCAGGTATACCTCCACCTCCTTCAGCCCCTGTTGGTCATTCCTCTGGTTTCCTGTGACGTCAGTGAGACCTAAAGCCTGGGACATGAGTTTGAGCAGAGCCTGCCGATGGGCTGCTTTTGTTGGGTCACGCAAGGCTTTGTGTATCAGACCTCCATCCAGACTGTGTACGTCTCCCAGCAGCTCCTCCTGGGGGTGGGGGTGGGGAAAGGGGAGGCAAGAAAGACGTCACTGTTAAGGAAAATGATACACACTTGCTCAACATTCACTAAACCAATTCCAACAAAATACCAACTGACACAGCTGCAATGTCTGCTATCACTGGCCACATTTGCACTGCATTGTTCACAGGTGCCACAGCAGTCTGAAACACTGCACACAGCTAATAAATGAATCATGGGCGAGTCAATGCTTGTTAATTGGCACATCTATAGTAAATCAGACTTATTATTCAATGCATTGTCTACAGCTGGGTTAGGCCTGCTGTGACTGAGTCTGTTTGAATTACAGTGAAGAGCAACAGACCTTTGTGTCGCTCTGTTTCTGTGGACATTCTGATTGGTAAAACACAGGTGTAACTAATGATGCATTATGCATGCAGGCTGACTGGCTTACTGACACAACAAAATCATGTTATTAGTTTCTCCTAATCATAATGTCTGCTGTTATGTCTAGCCAGAGGGCATACTGGGCAGGGTTTTTTTTTTGTTTTTATAAAAACTCAACTTCCAGAGCACTTTTGCCATAAGGCTGACTTGGACTAGACTCACAAATTTGATGACTTTACAATATCAAAAAAAACTTATAATATAACTTTAAAGGCAGAATAGTCTTACAGCAAAAACCCTACCTATTTGCGAAGAGAAAGACATTGTTCCAGTATGAGTTAAATACAACAAAACAAGACTTTCTTTCTTTCTGTTGTGGTACTGGTTAATAGTGCTATATGCTATGAAAGTGCATTGTCAGCACAAATTTTTTTCTGATTAGATTTTTATGATATCAGTTCAGTCGCACTTACACCTTGTGTAAATATTATCACTCAGTCGTTAAAATGGCAATACATTTGCTGTAGAGAGCATTATGACTTGTTTAGGACTTAAAGTTCAGAACTTGGGACTTGTCAGTCTTGATTTGGGATTTGCAAAACTATGACTTGGTCCCACATTTGCACAACAGGGCGAAATAAATATTTCAGTTACAGAATCAATAGATCAGAGGTTTAACTGCTACTGCTAGGACTGTAGCTAATTAGGATAATGATAACTTTCAGAGTTTGTTCATTTAATTTTTACAGTCAGCCATTTTTCCTGAATGAGATCAGAGGTCCCAATCCAAAGAACCCACATACCCAGCTTAAAAACAGATTATAGTTAAACTATACAAGCATATCACCTCACTAAATAAAAATGTAACACTTATTATAAAGCAATGTTGACTATGACACAAATAGAAGTTTTAGGATGCTGAAGTTTTTAAGAGGTTTTTCCATAACTCTTGCACATTGAAATTAACTTGACCCCAGTACTACTCTTGCTGGAGAAATGTGGATCAGCACTGGTTGACCATGCTCTTATGTTCTACCTCATGCTCTTTGACTGTGTTTAATGAGGTCACCTCAACGTTTTCTGAGCCAGAATGTTCAAAATACTCAAAATATGTGTAGTGTTTTTTTTCAAGAACAGTTTAGATGTTCTTGTGCATACTGCAGATACACTGGCTCTCCACCCAACCCAGCGGAGTGCTGCTCATATTTTCTTTTAAAATATTATTTATTTGGTTAGTTTTGTTGCCTTTAGTAGTCAGAAGTAGCTGAAGATAGACAAGAAAGTGGGAATAGAAAGAGAGGGGTATGACATGCAGCAAAGGGCTGCAGGTTGGAACCTTGGTTGTGTGGTAAGGACCCAACCCCTGTACATGGGGGTGCAAGTTCTACCAGGTGAGCTACCATGGTGCCCCACTGAGCAGATCTTTTATTATATATTATTATAAGTGTATTGAAACGGTAAAGTATGAGGGTTTCAAACTGTATTATTTTGTCAGGGTGAACTTAGAAACTTTCCCTTGTAGAATAATAGTTTCCCTTGTAGAATAATAAAACTGCTGAACAAACACAGGCAATGCTCTAGGACATCTGTGTGTTACTGTGTGTGTACAGTGTAAATGTGAGTCTGGGTATGAACTTACCCCCAGATGAAGGACTTTGTGTCCAGGTTTTTGACTGGTGTCTTTTGTGCCCTGAATCAAACTTTGGGCCCCTCCTCCATCTCTGAGAGATGTACCAAAGATAAGACTGTGCACCTACAGGACACACACACATAAAAAATATGGAGCTGAGTATAACATGCAACAAGAGTGCTGTTATGAATGGCAGAATCACCCATTCATCTTTATTCTGTCTCACCGGCATCAATGTCAGCATTAGATTAAAACCTTAATCCTTTAATCCTTAAAAGGTAAGAATTCACCAAATAAACTAAACCAAATAATGTCAGACCACAAAAGCTTTGAGCTGGTCAATGGCTCAGTGTGAAACATGTTCAATGACACATCCTCTAATGTATCCTCTCCTTTAACTGCAGCACACAGCGAGTCACTAGATTCCAGGAAATAACTTCAGTGCATTCCAGGAAAATGCCAGTTTGCCAGTGAGGAGCTGCACACAAGCCTGCACAAATATAGTCGTCAATACTCACAGTGGAGTGGAAATAAAGATAATATAAGTATATATAATATAATTACATGAATTACTTTTGTTCAGTCTTCTGGTAACACTTTGCACAGTGACGAGACCCCCTGCAGATGTGTCTGAAGACATTTTTGTTTATCGGTTTCCTGAGCACAGACATTGATTGATCGGTCTATCACTATTCCTAATTACTGCTTATTGCTTAAGTAAGTAACAGAGTTGTGAATTATGATCCGACTCTGCTTTGCTCAGTATGGCCCTTATGAGGTAGTAGTATCCTTTAAAAACACTTAATAAATGTGGTCTATGCTTATGTAAAAAAACACAAAACTACAACTGTTAATAGTGTTCAAATAACTGTAAAATAATAAAGTCTTTCTAAATCAGAATATGTTCCCCCAGTGAGCTCTTGCTCTTAACTAATTTACTAGTAGTCTGACACTTATTAACCCACACAAGTTCCTTATTCAGTTTCCTCCTCTTCAAACTTAGTAAATCCATTGTAACACAAAATTACTGCAATTAACCGCCTCTATTTTTAAGTGAAGGGTTATACCTTGAAAAAGTCTATTGCTTGAAAAAGTCTATTGAGAGTCATACCTTAATATAAAGTTACCATCCTGCCTAAATGACTTCTATTGTACAATTAAGAGAAGAGAAAGAGCACTGACTGATATCAGCCTCCTGCTGACAAATATTTGCACCGTAATCAGCATTTTCATTTCCTGTTTACATCACTCTTGAGAGTGTAGTGGGTGATGCTGTGTGTTTCCTCCTGGGACAGATGTGTGCAGGTGTTACTATTCGAAAGCAGCCTGCTATCACTGCTGCACTGATTATACTGAAGATGTGAGGATCCCTGGGGTTGATTCACTGAACCTCCTTCAATTACCATCACGACTGCAGAATTCAGTGTTGATGTTTACACTTCAGTTCTGAGGATTTTAATTAGCGCAGCTGCAGTTCAGCTGCTAATCAACCCGTTCAGATGCTGCATCTGCTGAGATGGACTTCAGCTCTTTATTGGGTTCAGCCCATTAAAATGCACAGATTTAAAATTGGACTCTACTAATCCGTGTAACATTTGTCATCTATTTAATGCACACCTGGACTCATGAACTGGGTGTACAGTAAACATAATAGTGGCATAATAGTGGCATACTATCTTTATTTAAAGAAAACAAGGTGATTTCAAAACTGAATACCCACCTCAGTGGATGTTAGGCGTGGATGTTCAGCCCCTTTCAGACATGCTTCATTTTTACATGTCGGCTTCATGTCAGCACCCTGGTCACTTTTATGTAACCCAGTGGGACCCAACCTTTTTCCTTAAGGGACCCCTTTTCTATCACTATAGATTTAAATGGATGGTAAAAGGCCTCACGAACCCCCATGAAACGTTGGTGACCCCTTGTGGGAACCAGTGTTATAAGCGATTATCAAGCAGATGCCTATTTACACATCCAGCAGACACAGAGTAATATATTATTTTGTTTTTGTCCACCTGATGAATGTAAGTTCAATATTTATTCTACTTTCAGCTCTGGTTTGATCTCTACTAACTCCTGAGAGAAACATGTAGCTCTTTAGCTGCTAAATGCACTTCAACAAAGTGGTTTGTGATTAAAAGATCAACCCGGGAGATTTTAACGGTTTATAATACCTTTGAATACAGAACAAAACACATTTGTGTCTGTCCTTATTGCTGTAAACAGGAAAAAAAGAATGGGGGAACATATAGCAGAATGGACCAAGAATTGATGTGTGTGTGTGTGTGTGTGTTAGTAAAGTGAGCGTTTATCACCTCTCTGAGGCTGACTGGAGTGTTGAGCAGCAGGCTGGTTGTGGAGTTGGACAGGGAAAGGTTCTTGAGCAGGAACTGCTGGAAATCCGACTGGTTCTTCAACACACTGGCCAGTGTGAAACCTGCATCCAGCACACACATCACAAAAACACACACACTTTTTTCAAATTCATCTTTCTGTTAGTGGATGCATGTTTTATTCACTGAAATGAGAGCTTCGATCAACTTCCAAACATCTTCCAAACAGTGGCCAGTCTATATATGAAAACATCTTTAGATATACACAAACCAGCGGACCCTGAGGACTGCAGTTTTATGCCAGGCAGATTATTCATACTTTACTACTTTGTTTCAGTTTCTCTGTAGAGTAGTACCTATGATAGCATATCAGATATTGTAAAGGCTTATTTGGAATTAGATTCTCTTTTTATCTTTGACAGAGCAAAGATTTAAGGTCACTCCTTCTGCCAAAAAATGTTGAGCGTGCTTCAACCAACTCACAAGGTATGGGGCCTGTCTGGTGCTCTCAGGCGGCAAGCTTGTCATTCAATGTGTCAAGTGTAATCGTAGTTTTCCTGCGTCTCTCAAATAAAAAGAAATGACAGCACCCCCTAGAGGTAGAGGTATTATCAATAGATTGATACATAGAAAAGCTTTCTGGATTTAGGAACTTAACACTGTTGGACTAGTAGGACTTAATAAGGAGCCAACTTGTTTTTTGTTGGCTTAAGTCAAGCCCTACTTGTTTTTTATTCTGTCATATTGCTCAATACAGGCTATTTACGATTGTCACTAATATGATGTGTGTTTTGGTGCTGAATGTTATTTTATACATCTCTGTGTCCTTTTTTATCAGTTGACATCATAGAATATTTTCTAAATGCTGCCCACTCTTCTAGCTTATGCTGATGAGTTCCTTATTAGGGGAGTGGCATAGATATTTATAGTAGCGCTTTGATACAAACTATTTATTATTGTGACTTATATTTTATACATTTCATGGCCTATTTATGTATGTCATTCACAGGAGTTTGTATATTTATTTTCCTTTCATCATTTCTAATATTGTATGAGCTTGAATCCCCTTCCTTTTTCTCCAGCCTATGCTGAATGAGTCTTCAATTAGGGAGGTTACTTAAAGGTCCAGCTGAAATTAATGTAAGGCTTTTGCAATCTGAGGCCCGGGCCAAACTGCCTGCATCGACAACATGTCTGCACTGTGGAAAGTCGTTTTGTTTTTTAGTGCCCATTAATAGGTTAGAGCAGCCAAACTTTCCTCTCAGATGCGGCTGCAGCAATGCCTCACTAGAGAGTTCAGGTCTCGCATATTCTTTCTGTGAGCGGTTCCCAGCAACAGTGACAGTGAAAAGGGTCTGTTCATAGTCATATCAACATTATACCAGCATCAATGTCACAGACATGAAAAAAAGTATATATTTTTTTCAACTCAACACCTGCTGTATCTGTTTGAGGTTAAAAGCTCTCCATCGTTTCTGTGCACAGAATACATTCGGATGTTAACAAGGCTTTTTATTGTACTGTATTTATCAAAGACAAACTCAGTGTAGAAAGATAAGGCTGGCAGCAGCACTGAAGCAGAAACTCTCTGTGTGGACAACAGAGGCATGCAAGCTGTGAGCTGTGAGATTCTGTGTGGACCTGGTTTAAGTTAGACAAATTAAGTGATAAGCTCATATAGGAAGATTGCAATCTGCACATTAGTTAAAGAATGGATGTATGTTGGACCTTGGCTGTTGTTGAAGTTGGAGTCCGGTGGTAAAGGGCTGGAGCTTAGACTCTCCAGATGCTGCTGCAGGGTCTCCAGCTCTTGACCCAGACCAGGCCAGTCGGAGGTGAAGAGTCGATTCTGTTCAACCACTTCACTTATCCGCTCCAGCAGCTGGGTGACACTAACAGAGGAAGGTTTAGACATTAAAACATTTGCAAACATGGATCATAGCATGGCTCTACTGATGGAAATGTTAGTCAATCCAGCAGCAGACTGCCATGAAATTTTACACAGACATTGGTGATGCCCAGAGGATAAATCCTACTGACTTTTCCTTTGGTGTCATAATCAGGTCAAGGTTTTCACTTATCCTGTGAAATATTTCAACAGCTATTAGGACAACCAGTTGTCAAAGAGGTACTGATGAGGTGGGTGAGGAAAGGGACGAGGTCAGGAGCAGTAGACTTAAAAAGGTGACAGGGGATAGGGTGGGTGAAGAGGGCAGGTGGGTGGGCAGTGGGAGGTAACCAGGATTGGAACGTCGTTGAGAGAGAGGGGTGAAAAGGAAGTTAGAATAGGATATTTATACTTGATCAATTTGTACAGGGGTGACACTAGAGCTGACGACTTCAAGACTGCTCTTAGTCCAACAATTGCATGTTTTACTTTCATGAGGACAAAACTTCTTCATCTATTATTTTACTATGGACTGCTGCTGCTGATCATGCTGTAGTATCTACCGCCTCAGACTGGGGCATTTTGGACTGATGTTAAAATAATGAGGGACAGTCAGAAGAAACTGTGTGAGAACTGTGCCTGCGATCTCTCAGTGCTATCATTAAGAGACAGGCGTTAGAGAACTATAAGTACAGTGGGATTTTAATTGACAACCAGCTGAATTTTAATTCTAACACCCAAATGCTGAGCAAAAAGGGCCAGCAACATCCATTCTGCCTCCGGAAACTGTCTCAGTTTCCTGTTGACATGCCCCTTGTGACTGTATTTTATAGATCTAGTCCGTTTGAACTTTTTTCTTAATCTGCTGGTTCCAGAATCTCAGCATTAAGGCTAAGAATGCTTTACAGGATAGTAAAAGTAAGTAAGTATGCTATCTGACCCGTTTAACAGATAGGGAGGAAGGTTAAAGCGATCCTATCCGACAGCGGCAATCCCATATTCTCTGAATATCAGATTTTGCCCTCTTGCTTCTGTTTCAGATCCCTCCTGTTAAGGCCAACAGGTACAAGTACTCCTTAATCCCCACAGCCATTTCTCTTCTAAATGCAGCTCGGGGAAAGAGTATGTGAGTCCTAAGGCTACTTGTGTAGTTGAGATGATATAATGTTAAGGTTTTGGATGATGATCATTATGTTGTTGATGACTATGATGTCTGTGCAATTGAAGATGGTGATTGTGTTATGACTTTATTATTTGAACCTTTTTTGGGTATTTATGTTGTCATATTATGCGACCACTATTTAATTCAGCTTGTAATGTTGTTGCTATTGTGGTTTACAGGGTCGGGGAGTTATTTGACTACATATAACAGAGTTATGTATCAGAACCTCTAATCCATTACTGTTACAGAAAGAAATACGTAATCAGATTACAGTTACATGATGAGGATTAGCAGGATTATAATTTTAAAACTACATTACAGTACAGTGCAAGTGCCTTCCTCTGTAAAAGTGGTCTATAGGCTACTGTCTATTGAGATTTTCTTCAAAAATACAATGAGCAAAGGCCATTTTTTATGCTAAAAATCTTGGTTTACATTTTCTTTTCTAAGGTTCCATTGTTCTGTCTTATACAATATGTAAAAGTGATCTTATTGATATTTACACTCTCCCCCCTGTGTTTTTGTATATTGCCTGGTAGTAAATTATTTCTTTATACATTATTTCTGTTAAATTTATTTTGATCCATAAACCTAAAAGCATTTGACTTAAAAAAGTGCATTCGAGTTATGTTATTAACCAGTAACTTAGAATGGCAATACAATGGCAATACAGCAAACAATAAACAATGTACAGCGCTTTGTGCTTCAGAGTGTGCCTTGTTCTTCCCAGGACCACAATGCTCTTTGCTAGCTTTGCTCGCACGTGTTTTATGTGAGGTTTAGAGCAGATTTTGTGGTTTATTATCATACCTTGAAATGTATTTTCATTTACTCTATCTATATTGACACCATCTTAGAGTAGAACAACAGAAGCTGCACCATATGTACAATTTTATCAACGGGTATGCTCCTCAATACTTTTAAGATAACAATGGTCCATACTCAGCATCACTATAATACAAGGGCTAGTGCATGTTCATGCTCCTTTTTTACACTGGTACCATATTCTGGAACAGCCTTCCATTACACATCAAGAGGGGCTTATAAAAGTCACGTTGGGACTTTTTTTGTATGCAACAGGTTGGAACAGATTGATTAATGAAATTTGCAGCATCATTATTCTAGCTATTAAGCTGTTGTTTTTTGTTGGAGGAATTTTATTTTTTCAGAACTACTGTTTTTTTGTCTTCTATGGTCTTTGGGACCATGTTGGAAATAAGTGTTTTTACTCTTGTTATCCTTTGGATTTGTGTTGTTGTTTCTTTTCCTGTGTCTGATAATCCATA